GAAAATATCAATAAATTTGTGTCAATATAATATATTTAGGCTTGGTCTGGTTTCTTGAATTGGATTGGACAACTCACTACATTCAATGTATGCTAAAGGAGGAAATGAATGCTTAACCTTCAAATCTTGTTCTAGTCGAAGATGGAAAATGAATTAGCTATTAAAAACTTATCCTGTCAATAAGTTTCCTTCATGACTAGCTAGTCATTTTATAACTTTATTTTAAACAAAATTTTGAAGTTGAAATTGTAACAGCCCGTCCCAAATTTTACGTTTTTATTAACTTTAAAAGCGTGAATTCACGAAAATGCCCTAGAGGCAAGGACTTTGACTTTCGTTGATCATCGGTTAGAGAAACATATGATTTATTCTTTTAGCATATCCTCGTAGTACTTGTCGCTACGGACGCGTGGGCGCAAACGGGACTTGATTTGGAGCTATAGCGAGGGATATATTAACGTTTGAAGTTTGGGGCATATTAATAATTTGGTTATTATTAGAAAACTCTAAAAACATTTAAATGAAATCTGGTGTGCCACGTGGGTGGCCCAGATTTAAAGACAAGGATATGGATGGTTGTGATGGAAAGGCAAGAAGAGAGATGAGAGATAAGTGGAGCAATGAGGAGAAGAGAGAGAAGGGTGGACCAATGAGGGAGGAGAGAAAGGAGAGAAAGGAGAGAAGGAGAGAAGAAGAGGAGGGAACCGGTCGGGTTTACCATGACCCGTGACCCGACCTAGTTCCATCTTCCGATTCCGACCACCATAGACGGCGAGGTTGGTGTCAAAATGATCCTTAGCTCGAGGCCATTTGAAAATTCTTCATATTTCACCCCAAAAATCAAGGGATTTGGCATTGATTTCACAAAACCCGCACGGTGGGGTGCGGTGGTTTTGGGTTCGAACCACACAATTTCGAAGTTAATGACATCCATCACCACCACCCATAACATCCTCTTGAGGCCTAGAATAAAGCCCAAACAAGTTTGGGGGCGGCAGAGTTGTTTTGGAGTCGGATCGAACACACCCAATTTTAAGGGTTTCGTACGATTTTAGTAGAATTGAAGCTTTTCCAGGTCAAATTGGCCTTAGTTACAGGCATAGATCGATTCTTCTCGTCGATTAGATAAATTTTCATGTTTGGATCGTGTGATTTGGTTGAAAAATAAGAAAGTTATAACGATTTAAAGTTTGCCCAGTTTCCGGCGACCTCCGCCACTTTCGAGGCATTTTCCGGCCAAACCACTGCGAGTCGAGAAAGGTATCAATCTCTTCCTCTCGTCGAAAACTAAGATTTCCGTTTTTAAATCACTTGATTTCGTGGAGTATTGACAAAGTTATGGACATTGAAAGGTTGCCCATAAATTTTGGCGAGTTACCAGTTTTCCCGCGGACAGCCGTGTTTCAGACCATTTTCTGGACACCTCCGGCCACCATTTGGACTCCAAGCTGGTGTAATTTGTTCTACATTTCTCTAGCTTCGATTTGGTATATTATGGATTGAATTTGGTTGAGAAACAAGTGAGATATGGAGTTCTAAAGATTGCCCAGAAATCTGTGAAATCTGCAGAATCCGGCGAAGTTCCATTAAGGTCCACCACTTGATTAGAATAATAATCGACGATCCGACCATTGGATCGTCACCAAACGTTTTTACATTAGTACGTAATATTTGAAGAATGTAGGAATTTACGGATTGGGAATCCGACGTACGGATCTTCCCAAATTGGATTTGTAAGTCCATAAAATAGAATGTTAACCGGCACTTGGTTTTGGAAATTGGCGGAGATCCAACCGTTGGATCATAATGAAATTTTAATATGTTATTCTAGAAGTATAATGTGAATCTTTGGAAGTTACAGATTGGAAATTTGATATGCGGATCTTTTGGATCGAGTTATACAGGGTTGTAGACCCTACCGTCGATCTATGATCGACAGTTGACTGATGGTCAATGAGTCTCAAATTATTTTAGAATGTACTTGAAGATGTATTTTATGTGAATTACATATTCTATTGATAAGAGTTCTGAGATGTGATTCAATAATTGTTCTAGGTGCCAATCATTCGGGACTTCTCGATGCGCGTGCTAGAGAATCATAGCATGGACTCCAGGTGAGTGGGTCTTTTCCTTTTATTATAGGCATATAATTGATAGTTCCACAAACGCTTCTAAAGTGATTTAGGCATCTTACCTACAATTAATTATTGTGAACTACGAATGACTTGATCCCTGTTTAGAGTACGTAGTCAATCTAACGAGACGTTAGATGCAGCCATACAATAAGTGAGATTAAATAATCGAGACAAAAGCTTTGTTTGGGAAAATGAGCAATGTGAAGGAATCTGGTGAAAAACGTGAGATTTAACCATATGTTTTGGGTGAATAAATGTTGGTTATAAATCAACGTGCGAGGAAACGAGAAATTGTGGTTTTATGTTTTATAAATGCCACGCCATAATTAGTTTACATTTTAGTATGTGATTTAGTACAACCTTGCACAGTGTTGCACACCAATGCGGAGGCTAAGGTAAGTTCAGGTGAGTATATAATGTTGGTATAATTGATGAGATATGTGATGAGATATGAATAAGTCGTATAGGTCACTATAGATGACTCTGACTTATATGCTAGCCATGATTGATGAGATATGAATAAGTCGTACAGTTCACTACATGTGACTCTGACTTATATGCTAGCCATGATTGATGAGATATGAATGAGTCGTACAAGTCACTATAGGTGACTCTGGCTTGCGTGCTAATATGGTTTATTAAGCACATGATTATTTATACTGCTAATGAGTTGCTAAGTAGTATTATACTTTGGGGTTTACCGTTAGTATATTTTTGACTTCATACTTCTATGTAGTATGATTTTTTGGAAACTATACAGATTTTACAGTGAGGGGTTACTTCCTTTGATAATGGAAATGACTTTGAAAATCTTTGTTTTGACCACTCACACTTTCTATCCTTGCACCCCTCCAGGTTCTAGTAGCAAGGTTCCGCATCGACGAGGACTTGTGGCACTCCCAGTTCTGGTGGCTCTTTATGATGGTATAATTATTATCTTTGCTCACTAGACTTGTCTTATGCTCTGTATCACACGTGAAATGGCTCCAGACCTGCTCACCTAGCACTTATGAAATACTTTTAGAATTAATTTATTCACATTTTATACATTATTACACTTTATGGCTTCGTCACCTTCCAAATGTCGGCCAACATGGCTCGATTCGGGGTCATAGTGGACATTCCGGGTCGGGGTGTGTTAGAAATAATTTAGTGAGTTAAATTGTAAACCTCAAAAATAGACTTATCATTTAAGGCTAGATTATAGATTTTGAAAGTAAAATGTGTTGATGCACAAAATCCGGAGGATCTTGGACCAACGTAAATCCGGCCGTGAATCACACAAACGCACAAGAACACAAAGATGTATCGTGGTTCACCCCAATGTTTGGGCTACGTCCGTACTGATGTTGATTCTGATTCACTGTAAATGTATGGATTACAATAGATCGGCAAGTGAGCTCTCTATGGATGCAGCCCTTGCCATTTTGCTCTCTGTTTGGATGTGAGGGTATTGCCCTCTATTGTTGTGAGGATGAATCTGAGACTCTGTCTCTCTCTATTTTGTGAGGCTCTCTGGATGTGAGCCCTTGTTTCTCTCCCTTAGTGAAGGTTAGGCCCTTAATGAGGGTGAGGGAGAGTCCCTTTTATAGAACAAGGGCTCCCTCCCCTTTTACATAAATCATGGGCTTAGGGATGAGGCCCAAAGACGAAGCCCAAAGACGAGGCCCAATATATGGTACCAACATGAGTCCCCCAAGTCTTCAGTTAAGAGAGTCTTTTGGCTTGAGACTTCAAATCTAATCCATGTACGGGCCAAAGTGACTAGATGTCGTCCAGAACTGGTACTTAACACAAGGCAATACTCAACATAAAGCAATACTCGGCTAGAGGTATCACACGTTACGAGACTGCTTGGCTGGAGGCGATGCTCGTTGCGAGGCTGCTTGGCTAGAGGCTATGCTCGCTGCGAGGCGGCTCGGCTCGTGGTATTCCTTATTGCAAGTATCTACTTTATGTCGACATGCACTCAGTATGAGTAGATTCTCGACATGACTTGGGTCTGCTTGTCGGGTTAAACAAGAGATCATTGTTCAGACTGAATCTTTGGCACCATGAGCACGTGGCTCATCCGTTTATAAGTTGGTAGACTTCTTTAATCAGCAACAATGTTGATCAGTAGATCTAGTTGCTCAATAATTCCTGACAATAAATGACAGTATAAGTATGATTGTATAATGAATGAATCAAATTGACAAAAGTTTGTCGAGGAAAAATATTGTGCTATGTGCCTTCTATAAATAAATAATTTATTCAGTCGTGTGGTAAATCACATGTTGTATAAGTGACACAGTTTAATGGCAGTCACAATACTCTAGGCCAATAAATATTGTATAATAAAGTTTTACCCTACCACTTTAAATAATGAAGTCAGGAATGATTAAAGATGTAATAATAAAATATTAATTAATAAAATAACTGTAAGGAAGATTGCAAACAAGCATTTGTAAAGCATATGCACATTGTAAAGCAAATCAAACCGAGAACGCACTATATAGGTGTGATAGAAATGATGTGGCCTCATGTTAAAGAATATACACACAGATGTAAAGCAAAAGGATCTTATCAAAATAATAATAAAGTAATAAAATAATAAAAAAAAGAATCTTATCTTCCTATTCCCGTGGCTTTTTCAGAAAAGCCTTTTCATGATGAAAGTTTCATTGTTGATGGGCATCTTCTGGTCTAATAGAAAGTGGAGATGGGGAACCTTGGTGCAATGTAGTGGGAACTTTGCACCAGTTCTTATCTTATTCATGAGTGCTACGGTTGTCGATCCCATCTCCTCAAACCCATTCAAGCACGTTTTCTGATCCGTCACCGCGCTGCTTATCCACGTCTGTATGTCCTTCACTTTGTCTCCAGTCAACGCATTCTCTCCACGACATCAAACCCGTCCGTCCAAGTCTCCTCGTTGGTAAGTGCGGTGCTCATCCACATCTGGACGTTGCTCATCTGGAATCGGAACGACGAGGATTCGCCTCTTGAGTTTGCAGTGGAACTAAGTTGGTGCATCTGGTTGAGGGAGCCCATAATCTCGTTGAACCCTGGCGAAGCAGTCGTGGAGGGCTGAGGCGGCGCGAGGGTCGACGCCGTAGTCAGCTTGTCGGGATATGTTGGAGAAGTAGGCAGCCATGCGGCAGACCCTAGCGAGGTTGACGCTGATGGCTACCTTGGCGAGCCGAGTCAGGTTGTCCTGGACGACTCTGGCGAAGCGGGACATGGAGGTGTATCGGAGGTCAAGGTACAGAGTTGTGTTGCAGCTTGTACGGATGAATGCCGAGTCGTTGGATGAGAGTCCGACCGTGGGAATGAGGGTGGGAAAAGAGGAAGAATATGAAGGTGAATGAGAGTTGGGGGAGGAAGAAGTGTGGATCTTGAAGCTATGCTTTGGTATCTTGAAGCTATGTTTTGGTATTTAGAGAAGCAGGAAGAAGAAACTAGAGAGAGACCACAAGACAGAGAGAGGAGAGAGAAGAACAGAGAGAGGAGAGAGAAGAAATTGTGGTTGAGTTTAGGAGTTTTTCATTTTTGCATTTTTTAGAGATGGGTTTTGTAGTGACTCTGCAGGTGTTTGGTTCTTGGTTTCTGCAGATTCACTGTGGATATTGTGGTGAGGTTTCACGGTGGTGAGATGAAAAAATAAAAGAGAACCGACATAGCTTTTCGTGTCGTTTCCCACAGATGGCACCAAATGTTGATGCACAAAATCCGGAGGATTTTGGATCAACGTAAATCTAGCCGTGAATCACACAAACGCACAAGAACACAAAGATGTATCGTGGTTCACCCCAATGTTTAGGCTACGTCCACATTGAACTTGATTCTGATTCACTGTATGAATGTATGAATTACAATATATCGGCAATGGAGCTCTCCGTGGATGCAGCCCTTGCCATTTTGCTCTCTTTTTGGATGTGAGGGTATTGCCCTCTATTGTTGTGAGGATGAATCTGAGACTCTGTCTCTCTTTGTTTTGTGAGGCTCTCTGGATGTGAGCCATTGTTTCTCTCCCTTAGTGAAGGTCAGGCCCTTAATGAGGGTGAGGGAGAGTCCCTTTTATAGAATAAGGGCTCCTTCCCCTTTTACATAAATCATGGGCTTAGGGATGAGGCCCAAAGACGAGGCCCAATATATGGTACCAACAAAATGCATACGTGCTAGATTATTATTGTATAATAGAAAAAAATTTAAAAACTTGTTTTAATCTTTAATTCTTTTTCTAGTTCTCTATCTTAGTCTATATATATTTTACAATATCTGTTTTCTCTCTTAATCTCTCTTTCTTTAGTATATATATATCTTAAATCTTTTATTCATTTCTCTCTACTGACTCCTATAATATGAAATCCTTGTTCCGTCACTGCAGCAATAACATTGTTATTAACAACATTTTAATGGAACATGCATGTACTTTCGAAATGTCAGTGAAGCATAGGAAAACCTATTTGCTTCGGATAATTAGCACGGTAATGGATGAAGAGCTTTTCTTCGGCATAGCAAACCACAAATTAACATTGGTGGGAAAATGGTTACTAAACAAAACAAATCGAGACATCTTACACCTTAACATTCAATCTCTTTCGATTCAAGTTTGCAATGAATTCCAACTAGGGGTACTCATCCCATTCCAAATTGGAAGAAAAATGAGCACAGATGAGACGAGAAGATGAGGAGTCTAATGAAGAAGATGAAGCATGGCGCAACACACAATATGTGGTAGTCATGGCTGCGGTCAAGGTGTGTCAGCCAACTAAGGAACAATCTCAATAGGGTAGCTTTGTTCTGGTCGCTCTTACAAACCACAAAACAGAGCGATGACGCATGCTAATCTGATGAACAACTACTTCAACCCCAACTCGGTATACACGGAAGAGGATTTCAGACGTTGCTTCCGGATGAGGTGTCATGTCTTCTAGTGTTTACTTCATGATGTCGAGTAGGTCAATCTATACTTTCGACAGAAGCTGGATAGAGCAAGCCGCCCTGGTTTCTCACCTTATCAGAAGGTTTCTGTTGCACTCCGAATGATGGTCAATGTCTAAGTCTACATGCCTTGATACTCTTGTTGAATTATGTAATACAATTATTCAGCTTTACAAAGAGGAGTACCTCTGTGACCCAAATCAAGAAGATCTGGATCGGCTCATTCGCAAAGCTGAAAACTATGGGTTTCCGGGTATGATAGGGTCATTAGAATTCATGCATTGGAATTGGAAGAACTGTCCCACTAGATTGCCAGGAGACTTTAGCAGAAGGTCGAAAAAACCAACTGTTGTGTTAGAGGCGGTTGTCTCATATGACACATGGATCTAGCATGTTTTCTTTGGAGTCCCTGGATCCCAAAACGACATTACAGTTCTTGGGCGTTCACCCTTCTTTAATAACCTGATGGAAGGTAATCACCTCAACTTGACTACTACATCAACGACCGTGAGTACAATATGGGGTATTACTTGGCAGATGACATCTACCCAAAGTGGGCGACACTTGTCCAAGCAATTCCAAAGCTTGCGAATGACGCCGAAAAATTGTTTACCTTACAACAAGAGGCATACCAGAAAGATATTGAGAGAGCTTTCAATATTCTACAAGCACGGTGAAAGATCATCAGCGAACCGACAGGAGGGTGGAGTCGAGAAAATTTGGACTCCATCATGATGTCTTGCATCATATTACACAACATGATTGTGGAGGATGAGTGAGATGGATATATTGATGAAGAGTCTAATGACAACCAGATCTAAATAGGTTAAGAAGAGCTAGTGCAAAAATATACGATGGGCCTAATTTGCATTTGAATCCAAGAACTGGTAATATCTCTTTAAATGAGTACATGAGGTGCTATAGAATGATACGTTCCCGTGCCACAAACAAGTACATACAACAAGATCTTGTTGCACATCTTTGGGCCAAAAGAAGCATGAAGTAGGCGTTTAAGTTTCATATTGTTAAATGTTTTTAAAAATGTTGTTTAAGTTTTATGTTGTATAATTTTTATGTTGTTTAATGTTATTTAATATTGTTTCATGTTACTTAATGTTGTTTAATGACTTAGGAAGTTAAAGGGGAAAAAAATAGAATTAAAAAAAAAAACCAAAAAAACAAAAAAACAAAACTATGAAAAAAAAATTCAAATATAACAGCAAGCTGACATCAGTATGTTACCGTTGGGTTTCAAATTCCGGCCAGGCCCGGGGCTGGCTAGGTTGGACTAGCCAGTTGGCCCTTTGGCCTTTTTTTGTCTCGTGGGGCCCACGAGCCCTTTGGCCTAGCCTTTGGTTTGAGACTATTTTTGGGCTATTTTCGGCTCTCTGGTCCTTTAGACCCTGGTTGGAGATGGCCTAAGTGTATATAATATCGTTTATTAAAAAAAATATAATAATAATATACCAAAGTGAATGGGTCTTGTATATCTAAAACTAATTTTAATTTAGCTTCAAATTTCGTACATAACGAATTTGATACTAATTTATTCCCCACTTCTTAATGTAAATATATATAGGGAACGAATCAATATCATCATTTTTTTTTGCACAACTTTTGACACATTTTTCATAAACTCATTCAGTAATGTATTTTAATGACCCGAACCATCTATCTTTTAGAACATCATTCATAGATCATCGTTCGCAAAAAATTAGATGAGTCCAAAATCATTAAGACATTCATTTGTAGTGAAGGAAATTGACAAATCCAATTCTATAAAGAAACCTTAAACCTTTAATCCAACTGCCATATAGTTTCAGATTTTTTGGTAAACATAATCTTTGATGGAAGATCTAAAAGATAAACAGTTAAATTTGTCAAAATACATTATAAAGTGGACTCCACAAAAACATATGTCAAAAATTATGTAAAAAAAGTGATGCCGCAAATCTTTTCCTATTATTGTATATTGGAAAAGAAAAGTAAAAAAACTAATTATAATTTCATTTCCGTGCTTTTAAGACAAAAATGACTTTGTTCATATTTAACTTGAAGTACCTGAGTTTAGGAACATCGACGAAAGCGAGGTAAATGCCTAATTTAGAACATGTAAGATCGCATCAGAATAACGAAAAACCTCAAGCTCATTGAAATTTAGCAAAGAAATTTATAAGGTTTGAATTCTCAGCACAAAATGGAACCCTCACTGTTGAAAGCACTGCAAGGTATAGGTTGACTGCACCTCGCCATTGCCTGAAAAAATCAGAAAACCCTCTATTAGTCACTTATACGCGTACAAAACAAATGATCAGTAACCAAATATATAAATAGGAAGGAGAGAGTCAGGGACTATGAAAATTGTATTTAGCCAGAATCATTCCTTTCATTGATAGAATGCTCAATATATACAATATCTTTCCTTGTACAACAAGAAGACCTAGAAACTAGGAATACGATAACAGAAAGTATCAATTACAAATCAATTAAATAAAACATTCCTATCTAGTTACATTGACTTTCTAACACTCCCCCTCAAGTTGGAGAGTGGATGTCAAGAACTCCCAACTTGCCCAACATGGATGAAAATTTTTCTTTGCCTAAGGCCTTTGTAAAGATGTCTGCCAATTGTTGAGAAGAACTGACATATCGAGTAGTTATAGAGCCGTCTAAAATCTTGTCCCGAACGAAATGGCAATCCATCTCTATGTGGCGTGTTCTCTCATGAAAGACAGGATTAGCAGCAATATGCAATGCTGCCTGGTTATCACAAGACATAATGGCAGGTCCTGAAATGGGTACATGCAAATCTGTTAACAAATACCGTAACCAAATGAGCTCGCAACATGTTCCAGTCATAGCCCTATACTCGGCTTCAGCACTAGAAAGTGAGACCGTTTTCTGCCTCTTAGTCCTCCACGAAATCAACGAATTCCCCAAGAATATACAATACCCAGTCGTAGAACGTCGAGTTATCGGACAACCAGCCCAATCCGAATCACAAAAGGCTATCAAAGTTAACTTATTATCTGACTGAAAATATAAGCCCTGACCTGGTGCAAACTTCAAATACCGCACAATTCGAAGTGCTGCATCCATATGTGGTTGATGCGGTTGATGCATAAAACGGTTGAGTACATGCACGGAGTATGTGATGTCGGGTCTAGTAACGGTAAGATAAATCAACCGTCCAACCAATCTGCGATACAAAGATGGGTCTTTGAGTAATTCACCTTTATCTGAAAGTTTGTTTTCCTCCATTGGAAATCCTACTGGTTTTGCACCCAAAAGGCCGCAATCCTTGATTATTTCAAGGGCATACTTTCTTTGTGAAATACATAGTCCTCTTTTTGAACGAGAAACTTCAATACCCAGAAAATATTTCAGATTGCCAAGATCCTTAATACGAAAGCGAGTATGAAGAAACCGTTTGAGAGCATTAATGGTATCTAAATTGTTGCCCGTAATAATAATATCATCAACGTAAATCAACAAAGCTGTGAAGGATGTACCGTTCTTTTGGGTGAAGAGAGAATAATCTGCTTTGGACTGAGTAAAACCATTGGCAAGGATAGCTTCTGTGAATTTTGCAAACCACTGTCGAGAGGCTTGCTTGAGACCATATAAGGACTTGTTGAGGCGGCATACAAGGTTCTCCCCCTGACGCCGAAGACCAGGAGGAGGGGACATGTAAATTTCTTCCTGAAGGTCGCCATGAAGAAAGGCATTATGAACATCAAATTGTTGAAGAGACCACCCTTGACCAGCGGCAAGAGCAAGTAGACAACGAACTGTGATCATTTTGGCGGTGGGAGAGAAAGTGTCATGATAATCAATCCCCTCGGCTTGAGTGAATCCTTTGGCCACTAAACGAGCTTTGTAACGCTCGATAGAACCATCAGCATTATGCTTGATTTTGTAGACCCACCGACAATCAATGGGACGCTTGCCGGGAGGAAGCGGAGTAAGAGTC